CCCAGTAGCTGTTGGCACACTAGAAAGGATGTTGCTGTTACTTTATTGAATCTTTTATTCCACCCTTTCTGGCATAATTGAAATGACCACTGTGTGGAGAGAGAACGTGCAAGGAGTCTCTTCAGAGCTGCATTCTTGCTATGTGGATGGATTTATTATCAGTTGCTGCCTAAGCTTTCTCCCTTCCATAGACACTCCTCTCCATTTTCTCAGTGCTGTCTTCTGCTGTAGTAATTCCTTTAATTCCCCTCAATCAAAATTACAGCTTTGCCAGGAGAATGGCTCAAAACATGCATTGCCACAGTGAGAACTTAGTGTATTATATTTATTGCATTCATTAATCTGTTTATGTATGACGAGTGCTCCTTTTTATTCTCTATTTTCTCCTGCTACATAACAAGTTCCCATCTCATCTGCATGCTTCCAGTGTCTATCCAGTGTATCCTAAGAAATTCAAAGCAGACAGCCTTACGTAACTCACTTGGTGCAGCCCAAACTCAAAAATTAATGTCAGAATGCAGTGTATTTTCACTAAGTACTTCCCACCAGAAAATACAATATTTCAGCAGTGTGACAGTCTATTATGTTGAAGAACATGAGACATGGTCTAGAAATTATAATCAGGAATATAAGTGGTACAGGACATTTTTCATCTTTAAAGTCCTGAGTTATTTCAGAACCGCTTATTATGACTGTTGACTGTGAATGAGCAAGGCAGTTTTGAGCACAGAACTTACTAGCCCTTGCTCTGCATTATTTGGCAGAGCACAGAGCCTGCGAGTCAGGTACATGGGCAGGTGGAAGCTTTCTGATGAGTGAAGTCAGGTGTACTTTTACTGACTCCCTTTGCTACTCGTAAGAGATCACACGTTTTGCTTCTCTGTCAGCAGCACCTTCTCTAACGTCAGAATTGCTTTCAAACACGCAAGCGCAACAAAAATGCCTGTATGGGACTATTCATAAACTTCCAATATAGCTCAATAATTTTGAAGTAGCTTTAAAATAATAACTTTCGCTGACATGTAGAGTGGGACAAAACAAAGAAGGTCGCATCTTTGAATTTCTAGGGCTATTTTTTTACATCAGCCCTTATTGTGACAGTAAAAAAGTAAGGAGGGACTTGGGACACTTTAACAGCTATGATTTTAAGATGATCTCTCACTAACTCTCTGTTCCAAGTCTCAGTGAAGCACTTTTAACTGTTCTCAGAGGTATATATATTCATTCCATATAACTCGGAGCAGATGTTGAATGTAGTTAGCAGACTAGTTGTGAAACATTGCTCTTCCAGTGTAAAACATTGCTCTTCCTAATAGCTGTTTCATTGTGGTATTATAAGGTGTTGTGCAAAAAGGAAATTGTTTTTATGATCCAGTTGTCCCTGACAACCCTTCCATGGCTGGAGGGAGAGTTAACTTGCTAGTGCAGTGAGTGGATGGTTAGCGCCTGATGGTTTGCAGAAGGGACTGCCTGGAAGACAGATCCACTGTTCTGTTCCTTGCATTACAAATATGCAAGTAACTGCAGCATTGGGAATCTGTCTAGATGCTGTGCATTAATTTCAGAGAATCTGCAACTATAAACAAGTGTGTGTCAGGAAAGAGGTTTCTGTTCATACATTCAAACCTGATGTAAGGGGTAGGTGGAATACAATGTCCATTTGACAAGCGTCTTGTAACCTGCTTGTAGGTCCTGACTTGAATTGTAAAGAGACCAATGTTAGTTGAAAACAAAGATTCTTAAGCAGCTTTCTTTATTGGAAATATATAAAAGGGCCACACACTTCCTGTGTTACACGTCATTGGTAAGGAAAATTTCTCATCAATACTTATTTTTCTGAACTGTGACGATTTCTTTTCAGCTGGATTTGTAACTGAATTCCATTTCCAAGCCATACTGTTTCATTTTGTGATAAAAGTGCTGTCCTAGAAATGGGTTGCTGTTTTCTGATAGGTTTGGGAAATTGATATTTCAATCCAGCATCTGTCTTGGAAGATGTGCAGTGATTTCCCAAGAAATGTACAGCACAAAGATTCATGGCGTCCTTTGATGGTACCTCTTTGTGCTTCTACATTGTAAGGGAATCTTTAGCATTCAGGAACTGTTAACCTAACACAAAGAGCAGATGCTTTTGGGATTCCCTCTCCGAATTAATATCTGGTCCAAGCACCAAACCCCCAATTTTTTTCATGTATATAAACAGTCTTATTGACCCAGGGGAACTGAATGTACAGCTTAGAGATTAGAGCATTGGGTAAATATGATAATGATGTATCCATGGGTAACAGAGAAGACAATAGAAGAAATAGCAGCAATTATAAAGACCTATTCACAAAGTTTTAGAACTTGTAATTCTTGTTTAGAATAAGTAGACTTTCATACAGTCTTGTTCACTGTTGTCCAAAAAACTGGAACAAATACAGACAAATTAGTACAATGAAGTTTCCCTTCTAGTTTATATTGTTTTAATTAGCAGTCTATCAGAGGCAAGCAAATCCAGACTTATTTTCAGAAATTTCAGATTCTCCCTCTCCCTTTGATTAGAAATGTTTGTCAGTTCCCAGTTCATGAAAATCTTACTGGTATATCAGGTTAACAGTGATGCTGTGTGTTCCCTACCTCTCAGCAGCAAGCCCAGTTACTCTGTGTGGGTGACAGGAGAATACCTTTCTCACCCGATCTATTACAGTGTGGTTTTTAGTCCTTGCCATGCAATTTGTAAAGCAAGATGTACTCTGTGCTATGACTTCTTTTCCTCCTAATGCAGTCAAAAAAGAAACTGTCCCATCCACTGTCTTTTCCAATAACTCCTCTCTAAGAAAAATACTGTTTTTCAATCTGTTCTGAGGAAAAGAGGAAAAAAGCTTTCCGTATAGATACTGTGGAGAAAACGAAGCCCCCAAAACTGTTGAATAAATTGAGTTTCTCTGCCTGCACCTTTCAGTGTGATCACGGATGAGGTCATTAGGTCATTTCGATATTATATCACCAGTGTGATACAACCAGTAGGTTAGGTGTTCTGCTTTTTAGAAGAAAACATCAGGTTGCACGATTGTGAGGGGGACGTGTATTATATAGAAGAAGAAACAGGGAAAGATGGGAAAAAAGCTATGCAAACTTTTTAGCCTGTCTTTATTAGCACCAAGGGCTGATACTTCTCATTCCTTGTCTCCCAGCTGGAGTTATGCCTTAGCTTGCCTATGCTATGTTAATGTTTATTTTCTGCTACTTACTAACATCTAACGTAAAACCACCATAAGCTTCAATATTTTTGTTCTTGTTCTTGCTTCTTTTAGCACTTGAGTGGTCGTGTAACAACTTCTGAAGTGGCAGAGGAATACTATAGAAGCTGAGAAAATCACAGCTAAAACAACTGTAATTTTTTAATGCAAGAGAACTGAAAATAGTTTTGACCTTACTGATGACATATGAATATAGAGCTGAAGACAACCCTACTTTGTTGTGCTGACACTTGGGGGTGGTTTGGACTACAAATTCCAAGCTACGTGACCTGAGACTTGGGACCTCCAGAATGATAAACCCATCTATTTTAAAGTAATAGTCTCATACTCTGTTCCTGCTAATATTTAAAACCACCTACACTTTGTTTTCTGTGGCTCAGAGTTACAGCAGCATTTAAAAGTAATTTCTATGATTTTTTTTCTTAGAGGGAAAGAGAGAGGAGCAACTGGTCTTTTTTCAAACTTAAACTCTCTGTTGTATGACTTGATGGTTTTTATTCCTCTTCTATAATAACAACTTTTGTAGTATAAAAATATTACGTGAAATTGAGCTTTCTTAAGTAAAAGAGGTAAGTGTGGAGGGAGGAATTTCTAGCTGCCTAACTCTGGAGATAATTTGGAAGGCACAGGCGTTACAGGGGATATTCATGCTGTCTCATTTGGAAGCTCCGAACAAGTTATTTCATGTTGGCACTTCAGCGGGGATTCCAGATTTGCCTTCTGTGGGCTCCATGCAGGGAGCAAAGGCACACGGTGTCAGCATTCAATTTATCTGTTGACAATTAGAATATCTTCCTAAGTTTCAAAAAACCAAGAGACATTTGTCTTCTCACATCTCTACTGTTGCCATCCCCTGTCCCCCCCATCTCCCAAAGAAACCCACTCTAAAATGTTGTGGTTAGTAAAACTTTAATGTTTGTAGGTGGAGGAGGAGAAAAAATATGGATTATGATCACAAAATCTTGCAGCAGTTTGATTCCCATTCCTCAGATTGCTGCTTTTGAGTTTATTTTGGTAACACTGAAAATTTAAGTCTGACTTTTCTAACCTGTTTCTTATTGAGACTTTTTGCTACCTGAAGTAGTTTTCATCAATAAATACTATTGAGATATCCAGGATTATAAAAGAGGTATTCCTGACTTCATTATTTGCAGAAAATTTTGTTAGGCACTACCTCTCTGATCTTTGTGACCCATACTATCATGGAGAAGATTTGGCATTTATTCACTGTCCAAACCTTGAATATGTACCACCAAAACAGAACAACAGAAACCTTGATATTGCTTCACAGGGATAAGATAATCAAGAATGGTTTGATTTCTAGTTATTTATTTATTTATTTTCCTGGAATTCATTCTCCCCAAGGATATTGCCATGTGAAATAAACCTTGAAGTACGTCTGCCCTACTCTCTATTTTTGTCACGGCTTTGCTATAGGCAGTTTCTTAATGGCACGATGTAACCTTATACCCATAGCAGAATAAACTATAGGTGTAATGCAGAAAGTGCTTACTTCTCCCTGTCTTCTATGAAATGGAAAAAGTTCCATTTTGAAGAATGCAGATTTCTGTAGTGAACTTACATTCATTTGATAATACATAAATGTTCCGAATTCTAAATTTTCCATTGCTTATCTGGAATTATTATTTTATTTTATTATATTATTATGTGCTGAGCTAGAAGCAAAATTTAGAATCAATAAATACTTAATGACACTAAAAAGGATCTTAACTGATGATATTTGGGTTCTCTTTACAGAATCTGGTTCTGCAATTACTGCTTCCTGTATTGGTTTGGGGAACTCTACAACACCTCCACCAGGACAGGCAGGAAAACCAGTGCCAGGATACAATGGTAAGACTTTGCTAAACATGCTTCTAGAAAAGGATATTGCTTATGGTCCTGAGTAAGTGCTCTTTAATTTTCATATACCTCATAGGAAAAGCAAATTACAGTCTTATTAACACATTTTCCTCCTTCCTATAACAGGAAGCTGTTTTTTCTGTGTTGTGGAATGTTATTGTGAATAAGAAATTCAGAGTTATGTTCCAGAAAATTGATCCACTACTCCTATCTTTGCTACATGCAATGTAGAAGTATGTGCTAGCCCTTTCATATAATAAAGGTATGAACCAAATACTGTGCTTTAAGGCTTTATCTTCACTTCTTATTTCCAGCTGGGAGAAATGGTAGGCTATGGACCAACATTAAAAGGATGAGCACTCATTGTCTTGAAGATATTTGCATGCAGAGGGTGCGCTGTTTTGCTGTCACCCACTTCTGTTTTGATGTTGTTTTGCTGCTGTTACTATATTAATTAGAAGAGATTCTTATGCCATTTAGAAGCTAGATTCTGTATTTTTAGATTACACGTGCAACTGTTAATGGGTTTGGGTATTGCTAAAGTTATGTTGTATTTGTGCTGTGGTATAAATAGAAAGTTATGAAATCTACATTTTTTAAACACAGCCAAATTCGTTCCTGTCACAGTATTGCTACAATAAACTGATTTCTTTGCTGTTTTTTTAGAATACAAAGAGTAAAACCAGTATTTAGCTATGATATCAAAGTGCAGTGGCACAAATTGCATTTAAAAGTGATTCAAGATACCATATTCATTTCTAACTCTGCCTTAAATAAAACATTATATTGTGCTTTCCCTTTGATCTACTTGAACTCTTTCCAGGTAATTTCATTGCGTTGTTTTCAAACTGAAGCAAGTCTCACATTTTGAAGACTTAAGTCAGTCCTTCAGTAATTCAGGAGTGAAAATATATCCCCCTTCCCAGAATTTTTGTTCATTGAAATACACTGCTTGCTAGGAGGAGAATGAATGCTAGAATTGCTGCCTTGATAAAATAGTTACAATGAGCTGATTAGATTTTACTTCAGCATAATAAAAATAGGAAAAAATTGGAGAGAAAGCTTTAAAAGCTACATGTGAGTGGGTCTTTTTCATGGTGTTCTGAGCCTAAATTCTCCAAATCTAACCATACTGTTTTCTTACACGTTATTACACCATCTAAAAATATATAAGGAAAAAAAAAAAAAGTGTTTACTGATTATACATGGGTTTTACTTATGCCATGCTTGCTGTTTTTCATAAGCGTCTCCTGTGTTTCCATTCATCCTTTTGATTTCCTATCCCAGTTACTCATTCTAAGTCACCAATTTATAAAACTGGCCTTGTGGACTTCCTTCTATCTAGGTGCTGAGCCGTTGCTTTCAGCAAACTCTTCAGTTACTTTAAAATTACCATGCTCTTTGAAGGAGAGGCTTCAGCCAGAAGTAGTAAACTACGGAAGTTGGCATTCTTTCGACAGATAGGATATGATATTACTCATAAGAGTCTTAGGAGGGTTTTAGTCAGAAGTCTGTCATCTTTTTTTCCCCATTTCTTCTGGGACTTCTTAATACAGAATGTAAGATTATTTGTACTAATTTAGGTCCAGCTGAATGGTGCTCTCTTTTCTTGGGTAGGCTTCAAGAAGCATGTTTTTTAAATCTTTGTCAGCCCAGTCTGTCAAAACTTTTTTTTCATGCTTTACTCATTTCACTTTGTTTAATTCCATTTATCACAAGCCAGGTTGTTATCTGACATTCCTTCCTTTTGCCCACACCTTCAGATGGAATGGGGGGTTGCAGTAGATTTCCCAGATGACTGCATGAAAGATGCTGTTTTAGGTGTTTTTCCTCAGAAACCTCAGTTCCAGGATACGGAGCTTTCACTGAAGGTGATGGGCCAGTGCCATCCAGGGAAAAGGTTTCTGTTGGGATGTCTGGACTCTTGGCTGTACTTGAGCATTACCCTCCTGTGCAGCTTTGGGTAGTTCACTAGTTACTTTAACCCTTTTGCTAGACTAGAATAAGCCTTGTCAGCTGGGGAGCATCTTTGTGGGTCTCCTGAGAGCATTTGAAAACCAGACACACTTATTTACTTCTAATAATATTTCTCACATTAACTGGGTTAGCCTCCAGTGATCTTAGTTATTTCTTACTCATGTTAGCTGCACACTTTTTCTTGTGTTTGTCATATACCTGAAGGGTCCTTTCCTATTAGGAAGTTTAGATTTTCCCGTATGAAGGTGTCTTTTAATATTCAGTTCTATATTTCTCCTTTTTTGACTTTGAGCTGTATCTGCTCCCAAAGCACAAGTATTATTTAAGAATTTTTGTACTTAGGGATGAATGTTAATAAGGTCATGAGATTATCCAGTTTGGGGCTCCCAAATTACTTAGTTCCTTTTGTTGCTTTGTGTATTGCCATTCTGAAGTGTGACGTAAGATTATATCCATGAAGAAAGAGACTGTCCTCCACCTTAAAATACACGACTTGACAGGAGTTCTCTTTCTATGTTACTTTTTTGCAGTGATGATTCTGGATGAAAATAAGGAACCAGTGAAGGCGAGGACTTTAGGAAATATTGTGGTAAAGTAAGCAAACTAAGTATTTTACAGTTAACAGAAGCTTCCTAAATGCGTTGATTGTCTTTTGTCTAAAGTTTATATATATATATAAAAAGCAATAATTGAAGTAGTGAGGATTGAAAAGCATGACTGTCTCTAATATTGATACCAAACTCCAGAACTTTTAAAGTCTGTTAGTGCTGAAAAATTGCAGATGAAATTGTGGCAGTGAATGAGTGTGGATTGCCGGGTTATTTCTTGGAAATACAACAAAGTTTACCATTTCCTTAATTATCGGCCTGTCTACACAGGATTACGCCTTCCTGTTGGGATGTATGAGCAAGATACTGAATCATTCTCTTAACTGTTTTATCTTTCGGTTTAGTGAAAGAGTACAGCAGCAGATTGATGTGCTTTGGTTTACTGATGTGATGCTGCCTCCTCTTTCACTATCTCCTAATCCCAACTCATGCACATTCCTAGAGGGACAATATGTGTTTTCTGATCTCTGTAAAAACAGGAAGGTGTATCTGAGTGTGCTTTGCATGAAACTGTGTTCAGTGTTGGTAGTACTTGGAGAAAATACATAAATACATACAGGAAAAGAGTCCAGGAAAAACAAACAAACAAACAAACAAAAACAGAAAAAGAAAGAAAAAAGACCCTGCTATGCATTATGTAAGTGATTTTAGTACCATTTACCAGACTGCTGTCAAATGAGTTCCCTAAGCTTCAATATTCTTTTTGAAAGTACACTTTTCTTTGCAACTTTTCTTAGATCAAGGAGCCTCTGTTTAGATAACGCTGTGAAGATCAATTACCTTTATCTTGCCTTCTGCCATCTCACTGTTGCCAGAACCTTTCCGTACTTCTCTAAAGCTCGCTTGCCTACTGTTCCCACCAGAATAGATGCCAGCTCTGTATTCTGGATGTTTTCGCAGGCTTTTATGTAAATGGCATTTTCCTCAGACACCTACTTTGTGATTAACACATTATCTGTAGTCTTCTCTTGTTTTCAGTCACAGAAAATACTTCGGTTCTGAACACTTCCTAACTGCCAGCAAATACAAGTCCCCAAAGAAATGCATTCATCCACTTCTTTTGTGGTAAAATTTAGGAGAGCTGTGGTAACTCAGAGTCTTCACTGCTTGCTTAGATGAGTGGATTAGCATTAACCTTCAGTGAACTGAAATTCTATCAGCTGAAGCATTGGGACAGAGGTGGGCTGGCTGGCTGCATAGTGCTGGCTTGGGAGTCCGGCTTGCCAAGCTGTGGAGGTTTTTTTGCTCAGCTGTACCACTGATCTAATGTGACTAGACCGCTGTGGAGATTAAGATAGTATCACATGAAGTTAGTGTACTGTGTGACACAGATGTGTTTTTTCAGGATCAGGTCTATAACCTGCCTAATTTTCAGCATCTTGGGTGAAGCCGCCAGCACCCAGAGGCATGTGTTAAAGCGTACACACGATCTCCCCTGAATCAGCAGACTCAGATTTAGATGTAGTTTTCCTGTGATACATGTAAGAGTGTGAATTCATTCCGTTGCTGAGTATGAATAATTAAAATTGCTCCAGACTGTGGTTTACAGTATCAGTAATCCAGGTGAGACCGGGGGCCATCTTTCAAAGCTCTCACCTCCGTAGTGCCAGATGCCATAATAAAACATTGGCTTGTAATCAATGGAGAGAGAGAAAGGTATTTTGTGAGAAAATTGATCCTAGCTGTCTTAGGATGTTGGCTAGGATGGAATAAATCGCCTTGCAGATGTGCTCACGTCTTTTCAGTGACTGCAGGGGTGACACAGCTACCTTGGGGTAGGTGCTTAACATTACCTACCAAAAGCAAAGTGGAATGAATCCATCCTTAGCAGCTCTGCCAAACAAGGCAAATTATATCTACTAAAAAGGTAATATTGGTAAACACGTGCATACGTTTCTGAGTCATTACTATCTTTAAGTGCCTGTCAGGAGTGGATATTGCTATATTAGAAGATCCTGTTTGAAGTTATGGTCAAACTCTTAATGCCAGAATTTATCTTCCCTAATGTGGCCACACATTTAGGCATTTATCTCAAGGAATTACAAATGTGTTTATATATTGATTTTTGTTGTTGTTGTTTGTTTTGTTTTGTTTTATCTTGCCCAGCATGACTTCTACTGCAGTCAAATAAATTGATAAGGAAAAAAGGGGGGGGTTTGTTATGTTCTGGTTTGTTTTTTTTTGCGTTAGATCACCTAAGAAAGAGTAATGGTGCAGGGATGCTATTATTTTATCATGTCCCTATTTATTGTAATATATAATCTGAAATAAGGAGGAGAGTATGGGAGGAAGAAATTACATTGGATCATTAACATAATCAATATTAAACCAGTTCTGAAGTATGTTAACTACCTTTCTCTTCCAACCTTTTTTCTGACTCAATCTATTGAGGCAATAGGATCTCTTAAAACTCATTCTGTAGCTTAACAAAAAAACCCACAACCAACCCCCAAAAAAACCCCAAGAATAAAAGACAAAGATATTGATGAGCTTTAGGAGGCCAATTGTGAATTTTTTAACACTTGCAGCATTTGAATCCTTAGACTGTTCACAGAAGTTGTTTTTAAGATATTATGGTCACAGTGTCTTAACATTTTTGTTCCATTTTGTTCCATTCTGGTAAGTGACAATTTGCTGCAGTGCTTGCTTGTTTTTTGATCATAAAAATCTGTGGCAGTTAGGTTAAGGTATGATATTTTCTATCTTCTGCTTCTTTCAGCTAAGCAGTTATTTAGCTGTAAAACTTCTTTCATGTTTTGATTAGGGCTAGTTTTCATAAAGCACTCCTGCAAAGAAGCCTTTCCTCTCTTCAGCAGAATTCTACATGTAGAAAACCCTTGAAAATAGTGGGGATGATCCTTGTTACTAGCAGTATTTGTCAGCCCAGGGACATGTCTCCATGCAGCTAGAAGAAAATGGGAGAATCAGGATAGTTTTGACAATTACTCTGTCATATGCTCAGCAGGAAAATATGGTGTACCATTTTAGAAAAAGACACAGGTGTTTGCTTTATCTGCAGCATACATGAGTTGAGAAATATTCTTCAGCATTTCGTGGAGAGGTCAGTGGTATTGTAAGCAGCGTGTGGCCAGCTGCGCAAAAGTAGTGTGCTGCTGCTCTTGGTAATTTTTATCCCAGTCTAACTCCTGGTAAAGAGTGTTGGGGGCTGCTTGAGGCCCGGAGTGCTCATAAGTATAGTATTTAAAATATCTATTCTTACAATACAATTTTAAACTTTAATTTTATCCTGCAGGATTCAAAATACTTTAGAAGGGTAATTCTTACATCTAATCACTCCATCTTCCTGCACCAAGTATGTTCTTTTCTTTTCTCATCTGACAACTGATACCTGTTTTTTTCCCATGTAGCGATCATTAATGCCCTTTGGAAAGATTTTTTGCTGACAGGAACTCTCATACAGACTAATTTACTTGGACAATACAGCAATGTTTTTGACTTCACAAGTCTTTCAGGATAAAGCAATGAAAAGCAGTGTCACAACATTTATGATGAAAGGGCAAGGGAAAATTAAGATGACTGCAGCTCATGAGGATGGGCTTGTATGAATTTTTTCTAAATTCACTTTTTTATTTTTTTGAGCTAGAATCTTTGGACATAAGATTCTGAAGATTTATTATGAAGTGAAAATGGTAGCAGCAATGACTCCCATTTCTATTAGCAAGACCAATCTGATTTACTGACATCCTTCTGCCAGCGTTGGTCTGACTTGCCTGTAATTAATACACACTTGAAAAAATGTATGTGTGTATCTGTAATCATGATTAACCATGAGAATTTTCTAAGCTGTCTGTTCTCATAAAGAAAGTTAGTGAAGAGAAATCAAATTTAAATTCCAGAGCAGTGGGAAACTCAGTTTTGCTCTTGTACATTATAAAGCTCACAAACCAATTACGTATATTTTATGAAGCAGTTGCCAGGCCTGTCTCATTAGCAAGCATTATTCTTTATAGTTACCCACAACAGCAAGAGGACTACATTTGCCTTGCACTTATTCTATCCAGAGAGTAATGCCTGCCAGTAAATTTCCCGCTGGATTCTAGTTACGCTTCTTCTAGTGTTTGTTTAGTTAATTTTGTGCCATAATAATGAAGGTTTATGGGGTAAGTATTTACAAATTTGTTTTACTGATCTCCACTGCACTGAAACACATAAATATTTCAGTTCTATGTTCAGAAAGAGGTGAGACAATGTAATTACATCGTACAGCGATTCTGAAATGCTTTGATTGCATTGGTTAAATTGCATTTAAGAGTAGTGACTATGTGAGAGGCTCTGCAGACCATTAATGTTGTGGGGATTTTTCATGAATTTGGGATTAGTGGAGGAAGAGGAAGGAAAATTATAATGTTCTATCAATAGTTAAAATGATTCAAATGATGATCCACCCCACTATATAGAGTAAACTAATTCAGAACTTCATGTACAGTGCTGTGAGAGTGTGAAGTATTGAAGAATAATTTTTACTAATTAGATTTTATAAAAAAAAGGTCATGATAAATTTACAGCTTTCTATAATTTTAAAGTTAGCTGAATAGAAATGTGACGGGACTTTTGAAGCAAATACCACAAAGTTGATATCCTTTAGTGGAAGAGGTGTTGTTTGGAAGTAAGCAATCCATTCACAGTTTCGCTATTTGTGCTACTGTGTTCAGTCTTTATACATTATTTAGGGACCAAATAGATGTTCAATAAAAAGCCTACTCATTTACTGTTTCTTAGAATGCATTAAAAAAAAAAAAATCAGGATCTGTGTGGAAGTCTGAAGCAATCTGAAGTCAGGAATGTAATCATTAAGGTGCACAATAGAAACACTAACCAAAAGAGCTTAAAGAGAAGAAAAAAGAAAGAAAAAGATGTAATCTTTGGTAGCACACTGTAGTACCTCAATGTCCCATTAGAGAAAATACAAAAAAATCTTGTACGACTTGACAGGTCAATATATGGGTATTCTAACTTGGGCTATGC